CTAGTCTTTTGCCACTTTGCCTAATGTCATAAAAAATGCAGAATTAAAACGCATTTAAACTTATAAGAGGCATTAAAATTTCACATATATAGATTTATAGCTAGCTTTGAAAATATGTCAATAAAATTAAAAGATTTGAGGATACATTGGTAACCAAAATAATGTATACTCTCACAACTTCAGTTAATTTGTACGGCATCTTGATAAAATAGGCAAGGACTATCTCCTTTTTATTTGGATCAAATAACCATAACATGTTCAAGCAATCTTAAGTAACATCCAATGGAAGTTTCCCTGAAATACACAATATGTGACAATAAGGTAATGAAATCAGCCTCATATATACCACTCTCTGTTTCCCTTTCGAGAAACTTCAAAATAAATTCAACGTGGTGACTAAAATCAAAGAAGCACGATGCTTTTGAAATATGCCTCCTTAAATCACGGGTGAACAGCTGTCCTGTTAGATGACAGTCATGCCATGCACATCCTTGCCACACTCTTGTCCCATTTGCCCATTTGTCTCTGCTCAGGTGCTGCCTCTCCAGCCTCACCTCGCTTTCCCCATCCTGTAGAACGTGGCATCTTACTTCACCTGCGTCTCACCTTCACAATGAGTATGTCATCCCTCTGAACTGGCAATTACACGAATAACAAAACACAGAAAACCAAAGCACACTCAACGTACTTCAAGAAGAAATTCTACACTGGAGTTTTCGGCCTTCACTTCTTACTCATTCTGTGTATTTTTTCCAGGGATGAAAGACAAAAATGCTATACACGGTCTTACGTGAAAACTTCCCAGAGCTAGCTCAGTCTTTGATTTGTCCCTCTTTCTTTCTCTGGACCACACGCTTATCGTACGCTCTACTGCCACAGGGAGACCTTGTGTGGAGGGGCCTCAGAAGCCTTTTACAGGTACCGGGCAGTACGGCCAGGTGCTGGCCAGGTGCTGTGTGCAGGGCTTCCGTCCATCCTCACCGCGCCCCGCCCCGCCCCTGCGGTGAGACTCGGGAGCTGGCCCAGCTCACGTGCAGCAGAGGCAGGGGCGGACTTCAGTCTGCAGGAGACAAGGCTTTGAAACTGAAGCACTACTTCTACTAAAGACAACTGTCAATCAGCCTCAACCTTGCCAGTGGGCTTAGCCTTACGTATTAAAAAAAAAAAAAGAAACAAAAACAAAGATTTAACCTAAGTTTTTAACATCTGAACTTCAATGTT